CCAAAACCCCAAAACCCCAAAACCCCAAAACCCCAAAACCCCAAAACCCCACATTGCTATGTGGCAATTAATAACTGAGAAGTAAGCAAATAAATAATTTGAATTAAAATTATAAGAATACTATAAGATGTTTTCTTACATCAAAAGTGTGCTCTTTGGAGAGGGATAAGACCCATCAAATTCCAAGTCAAAGCATCCCCATAATCGCACACAATTTTCATAGGATGCTCGCTATACGTCTGCAAACAAAGGGGGCTTAAACAGTCATATTAACGTCAAGAAAAGTGATAACTAGATACTTTTGACATCAGAGATGGAAAATATAAATGATCAAAAGAAGTAAAAGCGAAATTAATCTGTTAAAAATCAAATGTATTCAGGCTAAGGGGTAATATCTACTAATAAACCAGACCTTAATCTCTCATATTACAAGAGTAAAATGTAGGCCAACAGTGGCATACCTCTCAAAAATAAAAATGATGGTAAGTATATTGTTAAATAAAGCGCAAGAAAATATTTGTATCTCAATGAATGCTAAATAAATTATTTGAATAAAGTAGCTCAAAGAGTGACTTTAACTTCGATATAATACTGATTATCATTGTGAAATAATGCTAAAACAGTTTTTCTTATAATGATTATTTATAGGAATTGAAACGATAAGAGTATCAATGGAATCTAAAAATCAATCGAGTGCCAATTTTGTTCAGAAAAGAGTCAATAAAGAGAAACCTCCAAGTGGAATAGGCAAAAATTTCATTAATTTAAGTGGTGTTGAGAAAATTGGTGGTGTAAGCAGCTTAAACCACCATCATCCTACCAGAAATCAATAAATATCAATAGGATCATCTAGTCATTACGATCACAGTCCGATGGTAGTTCCTATTACTTCTACTGAGGAGATTTCTTTGAAAGAATATTAGGAAATGAGAAAGCTGATGAATTGTCCGGAACCCTCAACAGTTCCTTAATCAGCCTATGTTTCTCTTCTAGGGAGTGGATTTTCTTAAATCAAGGAGCGAAGGCGAGAAAAATAAATGATGATGAATCTTGGATCAACCTAAAAATTACCAATCTTAGAGCCTTACTTATCCAAAGTAGGAGATCAGATGGTCGCTTCTCGCTAAGCTTTTGAAGATGATAACGATGGATCATAAAGTTAAAATAATCATTCATAAGTTAATGAAGCAGAAGACAGAAAAGAAACAGAGCAACTGCCACTCACAAAAGACTTCATGGGAATAAACTATGATGACAAGGAGGAGAGCAAAAGTGATCTTAAAGCGAAAAGGAAATCACATAAGATGATTAAACTTAACAGTAATAATAATATTGTCAATAACTACAATAATGATTCATCTGATGAGATGAATGGAATGGATGTCGAGTTCAATGAAATGGAGAGGAATGTTGCTCAGAAATCAATCAGAAGATCTGTGGTCAAGGATAAACTTAACTGGTCTTGTCAGTTTGGACAAGGAGTTTTAAGCAAAAATACTAAAACTTTAGATGGTATTTAAAAGCTCTTCATGGACTCAAGAGGAGCTGCTCATGCCATAAGTTCCCTTAAAAATAATAAAAAACTCTATCAAATTTCAGATAACTCCATTCTCTTCGATCTTTCGATGCCATAGAAAGACCTAAAATGCATCTCTATCAATATGCTTAGTAAGAATTTAAAGATAATTGACTTGCAGAATAACAAATTAGAAGTATTACCGGAGGAAATATCAGAATTGATGCAGCTAGAGATACTTAAACTAGACTATAATCATCTCAAAAGTTTGCCAAAAAGACTTCGACAGTTAACGAAACTGGAAACATTAAGAATATGCAATAATCATATAACTGAATTGCCTGATGGGATTGAAGACCTTGTAAATTTAAGGAAACTAATGATAAGTGACAATAAGATTAGAAGACTTACACCAAAGATAGGTAATCTGTATTTACTGAAAGTATTACTCTTGCATAATAACCAACTATGCGAAATACCTACAGAGATTCACAGATTGAATAAGTTGAATGAATTCAGTTTAGACTGGATGGTATACTTAATCCCCTAATAACCCAAGATTATGAGAGATTCGTAGGGTCTTAAAATTATTGATCAAATAAAGTAATTTTGCAAAGCTAAACAGAATAAATACAGTAATGAAGAGGCAATTTAAAGAATTTAGGAAGCGACCTCTGAGTATAAGTCATTCGCAGATTTCATTTTATACTTTCACAAAGTTGAGCCCTATGACATTAACAAAATTTCATTTGATAAGAAAAAACGTGGGCTAACACTTTATTTATGTTGCAATGGTGATTCGTACCTACTTGAAAGTATAGTGAACTCTCAGCAAGATTCAAACTGTTCAGCCTATCAAGTGAACTAGTTTATTGATCTTAACTAAATTGATAAAGAGGGAATGAATGCATTTATGATTGCAATCAAGAAGAACTAAAATGAAATCATCAAGACTCTTTTAAGTCTTAGCCATAATCGTCTAAATCTGAGGTAATACTCCCCTACTCATGGCTCTATTCTACATTTATGCATATACTATCATAAATTTGCATTGGCTTTGTAACTTATAGAAGAGAAAAGGCTCAATTGTAATTCCTAGAATGCAAATGGATCAATTGCTCTGCATTTGATATTTGCGAATTATATGATAGATGAGGTAAATGCTGAGAAATTGAGCAGAAAACTTATTCAAGACACTCACAATATAAATGTCCTTGATACTAATGGACTTACACCGATTCATGCAGCTATTAAAAAGTTTGCTACTAAAGCATTGGAATTATGTAGAGATCATAATAAATAAGTCATGAGTAATAATGACTCTAAGTAGCAGTTATTTGATTTTAACATGAAAGGCAAAAAAGATCATACTCCTCTTCATTATTCTATATATAAGCAAAACTATGAAGCCTTTTAATTTTTACTGAGAGAAAATCTCGCTGATATTTGGTCAATGGATGTATTGTTTTAAACACCAAGAAGACTATCTTTAATTAATACTCCTTTCTATAAAATAATGTTCTAGTGTGAGAGGAAATTTATTTTCGCTTCAGCAGCAAAACATTACCAAGAAAAGATAAAATCGATATAAAAACAAATAACATAGAATATATAATCTAACACCACACAGCAGAGAAATAAATTAACTCACAATAGATCTGTAGATGTTGGGCTTAGAAGGCTCCTTGAAATTAGTCATAACATGCTAGGTGAAGAAAACAGTTTAATTCACTTAAACATTTGCCATAGAGTTGTAAAGCAAGAACTTTTAAAAGATAGTGCTTCAAAAATTACTAGTCGCTCGAGAGTCTTCATAAATTAAAAAGATAATATTTAGATCTTTAAAAAGAAAAACTCCAATCAAGAAAAACCCTCACATAATGTAAATTAGCAGCTGACATAAAGAGTGACTTTGAAGAAAGCTGATTCTCAAAATATTAAATCAAATAATAGATATAATAAGGATCAAATAAATACCAGCAGAAATTAATAGCTATTTGAATACAAACAACAGCAATATAATAATAGCAAAATGAATTAAAACATCCCACATCACCAAAACATGATGATAATGGATGCAGGTGGTGCCAACATAAGGCAGGAGTAAAATGTGGTTAACAACATATTCATATCTAATCTAAACATCAATCTCAATCTGAACATTAATATAAGCATACCTCCTTCACCAATGAGTACAAAGGGTAACGGGAGTCATATGGAAAGCAATTTCTCAAATGAAGAGTCAAAAGAATTTCAGCATGCCACTAATACTAATAATAACAATAATAACACCAATAACATGATCATTAACAACAACAAAAGTCAATAACCTTAAGATAGCTAAAGAAGCGAATTACTTAATGGCATTGTTCCAAGATTAAGCAATAGAGGCCTCAATGGATTATATGATCATCACCCAAGCAACATATCAGTGAGGTATGAAGATCTATCCGTTATTGATGATGAGATGCCTATTACAAACAAAATCAATAAAAATTTGAAACCCGAGCAAATACAAGGACTAATTGATAAAATCTAACCTGAGATTTATAAGAATATAACTTAGACTTTCTCTAAAAACAATCAAATGAAGGAATAAGTTTCTGGAATGAGTCCATCACAAAGAAACCTAAAAAGCAACATTTTTATAAATGTTTGCCAGTTCAATAATAATGCTAAAACTGAGAGAAGTAATCAGCATAATAACTCTGAGGATATTGAAATTTCTTAATATCAGGGAAAATCTCCTAGGAAGACAAATACTCTAAAGCAATCTTTTAAAATAATTAATAATGGCTTTTAAGAGTCAAGCAGTTTCGTGGAGTAAAATAATGAAGCAATGAAAAGGAATTTCTCCTAGATATTATAGGAAGAACCGATTCATACTTGCAATAATTAGATAGATCAGACGAAATTCAATTCATCTGTTAAAAATAATGACAAAACTTTTATGAGTTACCTCAGTAATACAAAATTCGCTTCTAATTCTACATCTTAGTATGCGAATACCAAAGAAATATAAAATAACAGATTTTTCAAAGAGTATCTGATTTTAACCAGTGATAAGGAACTTATGTCAGTAAAGTATCAAGTCTTGTACTAGTTTATCTCCAAACTATAAAGCATGCTTGATCATGCTGTTATCAAAGATGCAATTGAGATTTCCATTAAGATAATTAGCACTGTTAGTTAAAGAAATCCCATTGTGTTTGAGTTGACCTATATGGTGTCTTAGTATTTGACATAGAATTAGGACTAGAATAATTATTTGGAGTAGATTCAATCTTAGATTTTTTATGAAAATACTCAACAGTCACAACAAAATATTCATCAAAAGCCAATCATCAACTAATCACTGATGAAAGCAGAAATTATCAATGCTTTGCAAATAAAAGAAGTAGCCTTAAAGCTGCAGCCTAAGCAATACCCTTAGATTTCTTCGAAGTTGAATTAGTATCTCCAAGAAAACAAAAAAAGAGTACCCTCAAATTAATCTAGAAGTGTTACTCCTTAAGTTAATATTCTTAATAATAGCACCAATGCTATGAATCTCAAATAATAGCTATAAAAGCAGCATGAGTTCAGTAGAGAATTTAATATGATGAGTTTGGACGAGCAAAGATATCTGGAGAAAAAAATTGAGGCTAAGAAAAGGATAAATATCATCCACACATCTATTGATGATGGGAACGTAACTACTGAGAGATTTAATGGAACACTCAAGCTATCCTAATTAAAGATTTTGAGTTCACAGCATCAATAAGTGTTCTCTCCCTCTTTGAAAGATAGAATCCCCTAGAGTAAGGTCAATAACTTCACTTCAGTTAGAAATAGTTAATAAGCAGAGTAAAAAACAAGCAGATTATAAGCGGATAAGATAAAGAGTATTGGAAAGGTAGCTTCCTAGAGCTTGCAAGGGTATCAAATTAGTAACAATTTTGAGAGGAAAAGATTGAACACACAAAATAACAGTCATCTAAAAAAGAACTTATTTGTATGATATAGAATAGTTAAAGGGATAAAGTAAAAATAAATTGGCAATAAATAATATTCTAATAACTCATTTTTAAACGATTTTTTAATTTTCTTCAATATTTTACATAATGGGGTTTTGGGGTTTTGGGGTTTTGGGG